AATAGCAATATAAAAGAAACATTTAGTCACTTCAACTTAGACCAACAAAGTTAGCAAGCTTACGAGTGGAATGCCTTCGGGCTACCTTGGACGAATAGTATAATGTATGTCTAACACGTAACTTGTGGCTTATTTACGCTTTATTATTTGTGATATGATATGCTTTTGATCTATTTTAATGCATACATTTTTAGTGTATTGACTCATGCATCTTATGATCCTATGACCATGTTATGCCCTATAAATATAAATGATATGCTATACACATGTATGTATATCTCATAGGAAATTCATGTCATGAAAAGTATGGAAGTATGATGTGCATCATGATCACGTACCATGATTCAAAATTCGGGACCTAATGCATTTTGTATATCATGAGTACGAGTTACTTCTTTAGTATGTTATGTACCGATAGTTACACCATATTATGATACAAGCTCATTTATTTTTGTTTGTTTTCATAGCAGGGTGAGTGAGCCCTAGCAGGTAGCTAGATTAAGGTTAAGTATACGATCACACTAGTAGATTCAAACGCACAACCCTACCAAAAAAAAAAAATTAGAGACCATGGAATAGTCATCAAATGTAGGTGCACCATGAACCATATTACATATAATTGCATACTCAACCTATGTATGGATAACGGCGTCACGTATGGAGGCCATAGAACTAAGTCGGATAGCTAGTTTATCTACATATAACGAACCTATGTATATTTATTGTTAATAAAATTTATTTTGGTTATAGAAAACACTTGGTTAAAAATGTAATTATTATAACCTGTTTAGTTAAAGTTTTCTATTTATATCTAAAGGATAGGAGGATGATTAATACAGACAGATACTTACAAACCACATATATATTCATAGAAAGTTAAATGATACTAAAAATAGTATTAAGTTTGAGTATAAAGGAAAAACATCACAAAGGTAGAGAGGCGAAGGCAAGGATCAGCCAACTAGAGGTAGAGTGTTGAATGTGCAAATAGTTGTTCGGTGTCTATTCGGTGTCTATTTGCACACATACAAGGGATCAAAATGGCTTTGTTGAGATTGGCAATTTGGGTATGTACGATGTTATTTTACCCTTCCCTTTTAAGAGCTACTTCTCCCAAGAACATATTCATTCTCGCTGGTCAGAGCAATATGGCCGGTCGAGGTGGGATTGAGAAAGATCACACAGGACAACGTGTGTGGGATGGGTATATCCCACCCGAGGCTCAATCTGACCCAACAATCTTACGATTTAGCCCTGAAGGTCAATGGGAGATAGCACTAGAACCTGTCCATGACGGGATCGATATCAACAAGACAGTTGGGGTTGGTTCAGCAATAGTATTTGCTCGCCAACTACAAGCGAAATCTGAGTCAAAGGCGGGCGTTGTGGGTTTAGTGCCTTGTGCTAGAGGTGGCACTTTGATTGAAGAGTGGATTAAAAATCCTAGCAATCCTAAAGCAACCTTCTACCAAAATTTCATTGAACGAATCAAAGCATCAGAAAAAGACGGTGGAGTTGTGCGTGCTCTTATCTGGTTGCAAGGTGAAAGTGATGCGGCTGCGAGTGACACTGCTCATAGATATAAAGACAACCTAAAGAAATTCTTTATGGACATCCGCAATGACATAAAACCTAGATTTTTACCAATCATTCTTGTCAAAATAGCCGTCTATGACACATATATGAAACATGATACTCATGACTTACCCGCAGTAAGAGCGGCAGAAGATGCAGTCCAAAAGGAGCTACCAGACATAGTGACCATTGACTCCATAAATTTAGTAAACACAATCACACATGAAGGGTTTAACCAAGATCATATTCATTTTAATACCAAGACACAGATTGCTTTAGGTAAATGGTTGGCTGATACCTACCTTTCCCACTATGGTCATTTCCTATGATCTTATTATTTGTCTCTACGGAATTGACTTACCATATTACCTCAATTTATAAAATTCAAGTTTTTATTGGTAAATATTTATTAAATTATTATACTTTACATATACTCATAAACATATTATGTGTTTATAAACGTCTAAAGAAAAAATAAAAATATATTTATACTTATTAACTATAGTAACGTATACAAATATATAAGATCGCAAAAGATTGTAACTAAATTTATTTAGTGATCTCTCATTTTGAAATTTATAAATTTACTGAAACTAAAAGGATATCATTTTAATCTACTAACCGAATAAGAATGGTTGTTTTAAACAAAGAACACTTTCTTTCTATAAAGACAAGAACATGTATGCATGAATTGACAAACATACCTCTTATGCACCAATATATAGATAATATCTACGTGAACATGTACAAATAATTCATCTATCAATTATCTAGATATGGGTAGGAGTATATACCTTATACATCAAAAATAAAAAATGTTATGGTGATTGTCGACCAAATTTGGAGTATTAATGTCGTTTGATTTTGAATCTATATTATTCAAATAAATAAATTTTAATTTGCAACTTTCTATTAAATTATTAAGTTTGGTGAGATGTGAATTTAATCATATTCAAATAATTTTAAGATGCGTAAAATTGGGAACATTATTTTTCTTCTCAAATCTCAAACTTTAATTAATAAAGATGATACATATTCATTTTGAAAAATAATTATATTATTTGATAAAAAAAAAAATTGTTATATATTAAAGTATGCTTTATTATTAAAACATTTCTTTATTTTGAAATTTGGTTAATAGAATTTAATTTGACTTTCTCAAGTATTTTCTTCTTCGTTTGTAATTTGACTAACAAGGTCGAAATTTAAAAATATAAAAATATATATCAGATTTTCGAAATCCCTTGATATATTTTTTTGATTTAGATTAATAGTATATTTTATTTTATTTTTATTTTTAATGGAAAACTAAAAACTATTTTTTTAAAACAAGGTGCTCATATGATTATATTTTTAATTTCTATTTTCCATAAAGTGACAAGGGAGATTCTTTTCATAGTTTATCAATGGCGATCTTTTTTTTTTTTTTTTTTTTTTTTTTTTTTTTTTTTTTTTTTTTTTTTTTTTTTTTT